GACTGTTGCCAAAACGAGGAAGGATTGGAGCGAGAAACTAGATGACGCTCTCTGGGCATTTCGCACGGCATATAAAGCACCAATTGGTACAACTCCCTTTCACTTGGTGTACGGAAAGTCCTGTCACCTTCCAGTGCAAATTGAGCATAAGGCATTATGGGCATTACGAAATGTTTGCCTTGATTCTTCTGAAGCCGGGCGTGAAAGATTTTACCAGCTAGATGAGCTAGACGAATGGCGAGCATTAGCATTCCACAATGCTAAGCTATACAAGGAGAGGATGAAGTTATATCACGATGCTCATATTAAGTAGAATGGGGTCTTTCGCGAAGGTGAAAAAGTGTTGCTTTATAATTCTCGTTTGAGATTGTTCCCAGGAAAGCTTCGCTCCCGATGGACAGGGCCTTACACAATCACCAGAGTTTTCCCATATGGAACCATGGAGTTGAGAGGGGAATCTGGAACGTTCAAGGTCAACGGTCAACAGATCAAGAGGTATTTCGGTGAGCAGTTTCAAAAAGGGAAAGTGGAGATTAAACTCCACAAGTGAAGCAATCGCGTCAAGCTAGTGACGTTAAAGAAGCGCTGAACGGGAGGCAACCCGTTATTTCTACCTTATTTAGTTATTATTTTCTGTTGTTCCTTTCTTTTGAATAAATGAATGGAGACTTGTCGCACCTGCGTGGGGGCAAGATTTTATATGTGTGTTTCATGTGCAGATGCCTCACAGACCAACATACCCGACTGCCACGCGTGCCGATGTTCACCTGGTGGGTTCTGGACCCATCCAGCGCTTTGAGATGTGGGGTCGTCACCGCTCATTGACGGAATCTGTGTACTTATCCTCGGCAGTTCTCACCGAATATGGATACGCTGAAGAGATGGAGCAGCTGCTACAAGGGACTAGGTGGCATCGCCTCTTCATGATGCGGGCCGAGTCTAGCCTGCCACTGACGATCGAGTTCCTGTGCTCTCTAGAGTTGGAGCCATCTACAGGGTCGAGGTCGATGAACTTCCAGTCCATCGACTCTCGTACAACCCTCACTTTCACTCTCTTGGGGCGAGAATTTCAGCTGACGGTCGTCGATCTGGCTACACACTTGGGTCTCTACAATTGGGAGGAAACATCGGCACCGGAGTTTGATACCGCACCATACCTTCTCCCCACAGACATTGATCCAGCTGACTTCTGGGCGGAACACTCTTCCGATCCAGACCGTTTCGAGGGCATGGGCCGAGCCAGGTTTTGGATTCAGCAGACTTGGCGAATCCTATCCTTCGTGCTTTCGACATCTTTCTTTGGGAGGCCGTTGAACACAGACCGGGTATACCCCGACGATTTGAATGTCTTCTGGAGCCTGCACACACGCCGGGAGGTGAATGTGGATGTCTTTGTAGCGCGATTCCTCTACAGTCAGTCCATGGGGAATCGGACGCAAATTGTCTGCGGTTTCGTGGTCACCATACTCTTCCGATCCCTCGAAGGGTCGGCACCTATTCCACGGGCTCAGATGATGATGCGAGATTTGGATGCCGGCATGCTGAGGAACGCCCACATCCGTCGAAGGTTGGGAGCTGGTTCTACCGAGAGCAACGCCGCCTCCTCATCTGCGCCCTCGACCTCAGGAGCATCCTCGCAGGTCTCATCTAGGAGAGCCACTCGCCGCCAACCCACTCCTCAGGCCACCCCAGCTACGACCCAGGCAGATCCGACCCCTGAATGGGCCAGGAAGATCCTGGAGCAGCAGGATACCATCCTGCAGAGGATGTCCGAAATCGGACAGCAGCAGGCATCCCAGGCGGAGAACTTTGCTCAGCTTCGGAGGACATTTACTAGCTTTTACTCGGATGTGCACATCGGGCTCACCCCACGTTCTCCTGAGGGCGACGATCCATCCGCCTCAGTTCCTCCCCCTTCAAGATCTTCATATTATTTTCTATTGAGAACTTTTATTTCTTTTCGTTTATGAGCAGGAATTGATGATCAACTGGACTTGTTGGAACTTCTTATTTTCCGCCGGTAACATTAACTTATGCACTTGCTCTATTCCTATTTCAATCAACTTCTTTTGACTTATCGATGTGTGAGTTCTCTTGTTATTAGTCAATCATTCCAACCCGGTATTATACTCCTAACATTTTTTTTCCAACCGCGGGGACGCGGTTGTGTTCAAGTGTGAGGAGGGCACTCACCTAGTTGAAATGATTGAATGAAATGTGTTTTACTTGTATACTTATAGGCAATCTTGATTTTAGCATAATCATCAGTCTAATATTGAATAGCTAATTGATGGGGTGTCAAGCATATAAACTGAGAATTTTCATGGTATTTGGCAAACTCCTATTTTTACGTGATTTTTTTTCCGAATAGACTATTACCATGGCTGAATTAACTAGTATTTTCTTAAAAAGGTTTCCTAAGTCAGATACTTTAATTACTTTTAAAAGCTATTGATTTCACCAGAATTTTTAACAATGTGTAAAGGTCTGCATTAAACTTTTGCTTCTTGTAACCTTTAATCATGATTTTTCGCTAAGATCGCACTTAAGTGACGAATTGGAAATTCTATCTCCGTAAAGGGGCTCTGCTTCTCCCGCTAATCGCATAAGGCGAGGGAGCAAGTATGCATTTGTCATAGAATAAATCCACAATCTTGGTGAAATAATTAAGTTTTTGTGAAATGGGAAGCTTTCTCGTCGAGAAACAACACAAATTGAAGTTATTAAGACCTTTACATTATTGGCAATAATTCGTGAACAATGGACTTCATAAGGGATAGTTGAATCTATTTGATCTTAATAACTCTTTTAAGAAATACATTCGTTTCAGTAAATGGTCTACTTCTATTTGATTTAATCAAGTAAAAATACATGTTTGGTAAAATACTTGCACATTTTCAGGGAAATGGGAGACAACTCTAAAAATTTAGCTATTCAACGAAGTCTGATGATTATGTTAGTTGAATTGGCTTCATAATGATGCAATTAAAGCTCCTTTCAGCAATAATAATAGAATGCCATGTTTTTGGTGGTCTGAAGTAGTTGCTTGAGGGCAAGCAACGTTTAAGTGTGAGGAATTTGATAAGTTCATGATAAGCAGCGCATAATTTTATGTTAAAATGAACAATATCCTTGATTTGTTCTTTAAGGAATAATAATTGGTTTAAAGTTCGTCCAGTCTAGATTGTTGATTTTTCTGCTCTTATTTGAAAGAAAAAGAAGCTTTTAACTGAGAATTTTATCATGAGAATATCGGAGGAAGCTGAAACAAACTGCGAAGCAAAGTAAAAATTGAAATTGGGCCTGAATTGGATCAAGCCGCGGAAAAAGCCCACAGGAGAAGGCCCGAAGCGTCCAAGCCTTGGACGCTTTGCAGGTTGGACGCTTCCCCTTGGACGATTGGCAAAGATTGGGCATCACGAAAGCCACGTGGCGAGCAACGAATGGACGGGCCGTGTAAGGCGTCCAATTTTAGACGCTTTGGATCTGGACGGCTAGGGTTGGACGCTTCGCGTCCAGTCCTATAAATACAGCACCCTCTCTCCGATTTGATATGCTGCACAGCGCCCATCTCTCTCTCTCAAGTCCGAATTTCTCCATTTTTTTTAGCCTAGATTTACAAAGCTACTTTCAGATTTTAGATTAGTATTATTTCTTGGAGTTTTCACGAAGCAATTTGTAGCCCGAACCTCCAGTTCTTCAGTTTGTCGAAGTAAGTTTTGTCAACTCTCTACTTTTAATTGAAAAATGTCTTCTTATGATGTATGTGTGTTGAAGTTTTATTATGAGTAGCTAAATTAATTAGGGATGTGATTATTGGAATGGTGGTGGTAATTTTCTGAGAAAATCATTGAGTTGAATTATATTATTGGAACGGCGTTCTTTTGCAGCATCAACTACATCCCGCCGCCCTTTGACAGCACCTTCCTCGGCCAAAACTATGAAGGCGAGGACGAGGAGGATAACTCCTATGCTCCATCCTCCTCCCCCGACGAGGCCGACTTTGAAGATGCGGTCGATGGCGATCCCATGGACGTCGAGGACGACGAGGATGACGACGAGAACGCCGATGCTTAGACTTTTCCTTTCTCTTCTTCCTATGATTGTATTTCTTATTTTTTCCCATTCCGTTGTATTCCGCATTTCCCTTTTTCATGAATAAAAGTTTACTTTTACAATTCTAAAGTTTACTTTTCATTCTTTTTGTTAATGTCAAAAGGGGGAAGATACTAAGGTTATGCATAAATTAAGGGGGAATTTTTTTGTAAAATAGCATCTATTAAGGAGGAACATCTTTTTCAAAATAATCCTCCTATGCATAACCTCGTCTCGTTTGCCATTATCAAAAAGGGGGAAATTGTTGAAACACGGGCTTCTCACGTTTTCGTACTAAAGCCGTGTTCGTTTTTGTAACAGGTTTTGATAATGCCAAACCGCCGTGATCAAGTCGAACATTGAATATACAAGGCGAAGAACGAAGATAAGAGCAAGAGCTAAACGAAGACCAAGAACGAAGACCTTAATCATAGTATTGAGTCGGTCTTTATTGTGATCAAGACCGACCCAATCTTTACAC